TTGCGGACCACAGTCCAACGCGTAACCACTAGGCCAGGGCTCCTCCAAGTGCTAGAGGCCTTCTGTAAAGAACAGAAACTTGAGATGAAGCATGCAGTTGAAGGAGAGGGGAAAAAATGATGGGGTGGCAAGGTTTTGGGGTCTGAAGCTAGAGAAGAGTCACAGTAGTGAGGACCTCAGGACTTTGGAATACAGCGGCCCAGGCGGCAGCCAGCCAGCAGTGATGCCATGTCAAGAAAGGGTTGGGTTTCAGAAGCCAAGTGTGTCTGAATTGTGGGCCTCCTTATAATGGCTCAGAGACAGCACGCTGACCCCACCCTTGTGGTGTCGCCAGATACAAGTTAGATCATCACACAAGCTAACCTGCCATGGACAAGTGGGTAAGTTGAGCTGGTCAGAGAGGCCCAGGGAGGCTTCTCGGGGGAAGCACCAGAGGAGCTGAGATTGAAAAGCGAGTTACCGAGGTGAATGCCGGGAAGATAGGCTTCAGACAGAGAGAACACCAAAGCAAAATCCCAGGGCCGGAGAAACGGTGGCTAGTCCAAACCACAGTACCCAACTCTCCAACCTCACTGGTGTCCTCCCCCATTCAGTGACCCTACGCACAGGTCAGTGGGTGGGAATCGATGAGGCCAGAGACGCAGCCAGGGCCAGGGCGTGCAGGGCCCCATTGACCCCAGTAGCATGGTCATCTTGATTAGGGGGACGGTGTGGGGGGGGACTGTGACATACTAAGACCTCTGATTTGGAGGCAATGGCTCTGGCTGCTGGGTGGTGATGGACTGGGGAGATGCGGCCATCTGGAGTTCAGTTCCCACAGTCACAGGGACTCTCGTAACACAGGGGGCTGAGGCCTGTGCCCAGTGCTGGGGGAGAAGGTGGGCAGTCCTGTTCTTCAGTCCCATCGGCACCTACTGCAGAAGGTAGGTGTGTACGCTGGGACCTGAAGAGGAGTACAGGCAGGCTGTCGAGGCTCAGAAAGACAATGTGTGTTGGTGAGGCTGTGGAGGAATGAGAACCCTCAGAGAAGGCTGGGGTGTTGCAGGTAGGTGCATGGAGGGGTATGACAATGGTGAAGCCACTCTGAGAGCAGGCCGGTAGCCCCATTGCCAAGTTATACACCGAGCACCATATGCCCCAGCAATTCTAAATGAAAACCTGTATGTGCACACAAAACCTTTACTGGATCATGACTCCTCAGAGCCAAAGGCTGGAATCCTCAGACAGTGGCCCTTCACCAGCCTTCATTCCTGGAGCGAAACTCACCCTGACGGCTCAACTTGAAAGCAAAGGAGAAATGAGACTATGAGGTGAACCCGAAAGAGATGCATTGGTTAGCACAACCAACCGCACAAGATCCAGAGGGCCGCACTTGCCCAGGGATAAAGCTCAGAAGGCAGGAGGGAGAAGCGGAGGACAGGGAATCAGGAAACACCCCGAGGAAGTGGAAAGAGCGCTGTCTCATCAGGGGGCTGCAGCCAGTGTCACGGATCAAAATGTGTGTGAATTTTTAAGTCAAAACCCCACTTGCCCTGTGAACTTTCATCCCAAGTAACATTTTTAAACTAAAATGTATTCAACAAAAAATTAACTACTACTGCATGGATGAATCTGAGAGATATTCAATAGTCACAAAAGGCCATTTATTGTCTGACTCAATTAGATGGAGTAGCTGTAATAGGCAAGGAGTCCTGGTAGAGCTGTCCAGTAAGCAGTGTGGACCACTCATCACAAACTGACAGTTCGAAACCCACCATCCACCCTGAGGGAAAGAGATGAGGCTGTCCGTACACCTAACAATGTATTGCCTTAGAAACTCAATGGAGGGTCTCTCTGAGACATCAACTGGCTGACAGTGGGTTCAGCACCCTAGTCGGCAATTCTCCAGATGGGAAATTGATTAGCAGTTGCCTAGGACTGTGGAGGATGAGAGGATTGGGGGCGGGGTGGGGGATGGATGATTAGACAATACATAATAAAGTAAACCAGTACACGACTTTCTCCCACCAAGGGAAGAAGATGAGCCTTGTTGGCGTAGTGGTTACAAGTTGGGCTGGGATCTACAAGGTTGGCAGTTCAAAACCACAGTGGCTTGTGGGACAAAACTGGGCTTTCGACCGAGTTACAGTCTCAGAAACACAGGGTCTGTTCTGCCCAAACTGACAGGGTCGGCATTGACTGGGTGGTCGTGAGTGAGTTGGTGGAAGGGAAGGAGAGAGAGATGATCACAGTACCTGTTCTGGAAGTCCTAAGAGGAGTGGATTCTGATGGGAGTTGTGGGGACTTCTCAAGGGAGAAGGCGCTGGATAAGTCACGGGCAGGCAGAGTGAACCAGAGGCACGCCGAAGGCCAGAGAATGAAAGCGCCACTGCCGCCAGGACAATGAGCAGTCCAGCGGGACTGCAGAGGGAGGCGATGCTTCCCCAACACCAGTCTTTTATCTCCTGCCACTTCATTTTTGCCATCGAACCCCCAAAGCCCACTGTTAAGTGACTGGATTCTGATGCCTGGTGACCCCATGTTGTTTCCAAGGCTGTAAATCTCTATGGGAGCAACCAGCCTCAGCTTCCTCCTGTGGAGCGGCGGGTGGGTTTGAACCTCAGGCCTCAAGGTTAGCAGTCCTTCACTTAGCCAAGAGCACCACCAGGGTTCCTTCATTTTGCCACGATGAATTTGACAAAACTGTGGTCTACTTAATATTTTTCTTTACATCAACATGCTGGAACAAGTTTATACAATTCCTACCAAACAGAAAACCAATGGCACACGCCATCAAAAGGAGGCAACTGACCCCTCTGCCCCCCAAATAGGAGCACACTGACAACGCAAAACAATGCTAATAAGCCCCAGCGAGATACTGCTGCCTGCCAAAGTTCACAGTCAATTTAGGCCAGGTTCACCAGGAAGCGTCTCCGGGTGTGTGTGTGTGTGTGTGG